TGCAGAACACTACACTGTCTATGTGGAAGGTATAAATGATACCTCAACAGTTACACTGCTCTCCTTAAACAGGTGGAGTCTCCACTAATGCTAACCTTATACAGTATAAAGCCTGTTAGAACCTCATTCCACTTGACGCAGGACTCTCAGTTGAGTGTCAGCTAAAGCGCTGGTTAGAGCCATACACTACAACTGTACTGACAGCACAAAACAAAATCATTTCTCATTGCTGCCACAAGTGGAATGGGACTGCAAGTTTAGTTGTCATTGCTATTTATGTCTTGGATGACAAGTTCCATTCATAGAGCATCTTTAAACCCTTAAGGCTTGACTCAACCACGAACAAAAAGTGAGCAGTCAATTTCTACATTGCTAAAGTAAATTTGACTTAAATGTGGATCTCATTCCTTTGATCTCTGCAGCAAACTGAAGCACAATACCGAAGTTGTTTAGTAGTAGATTGGAGCAATTAATGGCAATGGAATGCTTGCTTGACTACTGTGAACTCATCCAAAAACACTGCTGCCCACATCTTAACACCCCGCTGTGAACGTAAAGCTATACGACTGTTGCAAAATGATGCTTTCAAAAGGAAATTGGATCACTAGCAGAGAAGAAAACATCTGCAGGGCCCCAGATAAAAGGACAGGGAGCAGCACTAGGTGAATTCCTTCATCATAGGGCTGAATGGCCTGGATGTGGTGTAACCATTCTATAATTCGACAATTTTCTTTAAGGAGGCAACTCCATACTTACCTAAACTGGTCTACATGCTACTCCAGACCCACACAATATTTCTTAGCTACTCTTTGAAAATAGTTAGTAAGCCATTCAGTTGTCCTAATCAACTTCTGAATAGTCACAGTTCATGTACTACACCAGATGAGTTGCAGTGGTCGGAGAAGGCTCACTACCTTAATTTGAGGGCAAGGAATGAGCAATAAATGCTGGCCTTGCCAATGACACACAGATTCCATGAAAGAATGGAATGAAAATGCCAGGCAAGACTTTGGCTCTGATTCTGCTGGAGCAGATTGCAATGCACCATGAGCATCCTTCATATATTCACATTCATGTTTTAGGCATTTTTGGTGTCTGGCTTTGTTTTCTGTTGAGGAACTTATTAAGGAGATACTGGCCGAGCAGATATTCCTTTAGAAAAATGACCTGGGGGCTCACTGAATTTAATTTAACTTAACGATCAGTAGCGTTTTCCAACTAAATTGGTCTTAGTTGAAACTGCTGGGTACGTAAACCAGACCTCCAGTGGATGATGGGAGCCCCTAGCCCCCCAGTGACTCTAAGATTCTGCTCAAACGATCAAAGGTAAGAAACGCCCCGAAAATATTACATTTTTAAAATTCCCTAAGTAATTCAAAACTCGAAGGAAATAAGACTTCGTACTTAAAGTAACCACTAACTTTCTAGGCAAGAGAAATGGATTGATAATCAATCATATATTAAAAGGTTACCTCCTGTTAATTACACAACTTAAATTGTCCAATAAACTTTGAACAGAGTTAGCTGAAACAGAAAATTCATGAGAATCACTGAGAGGTTACGCACAGAATAGTGTTCTTATGAAGGCAGTGGCAATGTTTGGAAATTTGCTAGCAGTTTCTGGTGATTCGTAATCTTCCTTACTAGAGTTTGCTGTGCAATTTGCAATGCTTCTTTCAGATGCAATTATCTTTACAGTTAAACCTGGAGCCACCCATTCAAGCCTCTACAGTAGGCTTGAGCCCGCGACCTTCAGGAATGTTGCTGTATTGTAATTTACAGCCTGTTTAAAAGCCTGTGACACTGCACCTGGTTCTGACTCAGTGACCACAAAGAATGAATTTCCGATCAAAGCTTTCAACCAAGGCTAAGTTAGTTGGAAAACTCTGCCGATCGCCCCCGATCATTTTTCCAAAGGAATGTCTGCTCGGCCAGTACCTCCCTAATAAATTCCTCAATAGAAAACAAAGCCAGACACCAAAAAGATCAATATAGCAAACTGTGCTGGGAGAGTGCAGTGGGGTGAGGAAAATAATAGAAACTGGGCCATACAGCTCAAGAACAAAGTATGCTTGCATCAAGGCAGTGTAAAGGAATAACAGAATAAAGTTTGTCACAGACAGAATGTTGTAACAAGGCTACTTGCTAAATACTGCTGCATGCCAATCACAACCCAGGTTACATATGAGCATTACTGGCAAACCCCTAGCGAAAAGAAAATCACCGGGCGCATTCCCATTCACGACAGGAGGTTAAACATTAAAAAGGAAAAAAAAACTTGGTGGTCCAAGACTTAATTTTGGTTGAGTAACCGCAAAACTCACTACTGCTGAACAATGTGTAGGACTTAAAAGGGAAACTATCGACCATTGCAGGATGCATTCTTTCTGGATCAGTTAACCATTAAACAGAGGTTATGGGCAAAGTAACCAGAACAAGCCCATTCTCTCTACCTGACCCCAGTGGGACACTGAACTAATCAAACTCTGTTCTCACAAGTGTGCAATAATCACACACCAGGTCAAACACAATCTAAACTTGTAGGTGGTTAAGGTGCACACACACATTATTGTTAACTTGAGAGTTTGGATTAACAGGAGCAATAGATCAATGTGACCTGGAATGACTTGGAGAGGGATCCTAGGATGAGGAAAACAAATGTACAGGACTAATGGGCAGTTTTTTAGGTAAGGTAGTACTGAGTGGCATAGGATTTCAACGTTTGTAGGGACTGGTGCTGTACCTCACTCACATTCCATCGCCAAATGTGCTACAGCTTCAAAAAGCTGTTCGCAGCATCATTTACCAGGGCTTGGAAGACTGTAACTCAGACGAAGTCACCCTGAAACTTCAATGAATTTCATCTCCCTCCACATTCAGTAAAACTCCCTTCAATTCATCCTCCATCTGATTCCCCACTTCTCTCCTCTACGCAGCTTTTATCTTTGTTCATCTCCCATAGAATGAGCAGGGAATATGTAAACTCATATACAAAAGGCACTGTGGCCATGCATCTGCACCCTGCAGTTTCCAGATCTTGGCCAACAGCATTCCTGCTTCAGTCACATATTAACCTTGGTCAGAAGACTATTGTTGCCAAGCCCCATTCCACACAATCAAAGGCTGACACTTCAGTGAGGCATTGAGAACGAACATACCACACAGGCAGTAAGTATTGTCTTGAGCTCAACACTGAAGCAAGGTCCCATCCACACATTCAGCTGGGTTCAAGAGATGCTACCAGCAGTATTTGCAGATTGTTGTTTCTCTGGGCCAATATTCCTCCCCATAGCAACAGCACCTGAAACACATTCCCTGGTCATTCAACTCACCACAAGAAAATTTTAATGTATGGCTGCACTTCAAATTAGTTAGTTGCGAAATGAGGTTCAGCTGGAAAGGAAAGCCCCAAGTAGAACACTGGTATTTCCATAGACAAAATATCACAGAACAGATTAATCATTTCAGCTGTTGTCTCAATTCGTGGAATAGACACATTGGGAGTGACGAACTTGGAAAGTCCCCTTCCTCTACCAGCCAGAGGAGGCTGATTCAGCAGAGATGAAAATAAAGGAAGCTTCAAAACAGGAGCCCAGAAATATTTCTTCAAATCATTAATTTCAAAATGTCCTGAATTCCCTCCCCAACTTGCCCCAAATTTTCCAACATTGGAATGCAGGACTGAGGAACACGGGTGGGCCATTCAGGCCTTCGTGACTGCTCTGCCATTAAATAATAATATAGTTAATCTGAACGTGGTCTTAACCCCATGTTCCGACTGGGCCCAATACACCCCTAGAATCCCTTGTCTATGAAAAGGCTACATATACTCAAGTATAGCAATAACAAGGTGTAGAGGTGGATGAACACAGCAGGCCAAGCAGCATCATAGGAGCAGGAAGGCTGACGTTTCGGGCCTAGACCCTTCTTCAGAAATGGGGGAGGGGAAGGGGGTTCTGAAATAAATAGGGGGAGAGGGGGAGGCAGATAGAAGATGGATAGAGAAGATAGGTGGAGAGGAAACAGACAGGTCAAAGAGGCGGGGATGGAGCCAGTAAAGGTGAGTGTAGGTGGAGAGGTAGGGAGGAGGTAGGTCAGTCCAGGGAGGACGAACAGGTCAAGGGGGCAGGATGAGGTTAGTAGGTAGGAGATGGGGGTGCGGCTTGAGGTGGGAGGAGGAACAGGTTAGGGAGGCGGGGACGAGCTGGGCTGGTTTTGGGATGCGATAGGGGGAGGGGAGATTTTGAAGCTTGTGAAATCCACATTGATACCATTGGGCTGCAGGATTCCCAAGCGGAATGAGTGGCTGTTCCTGCAACCTTCGGGTGGCATCGTTGTGGCACTGCAGGAGGCCCATGGATAATGACCCTGCCAGCCCTGCTTTCGGGGGAAGAGAATTCCACAGATTAACTACCCTCCAAGATCTCCACTCCAGAAGTCTGTCATTGAATTGCCTCCCCTGACATATATGGATCCTTGCTTTATCGGTGACCCTGGAAACAATGGTAAATGGGTTCACGGTCATCTTCCCCAAAGGCAGTGGGGGTTGATTTTACCTCAATCCCTCACCTGTACCAGCAGGTTGCTGGATGCAGGAATGAGAATTCAGGATTATAATCAGGACAGCTAACTATAGAGTCCCAGCTTGCATTTTTAACAATGGTGCAGCAACTTAAAAAGTCTTCAGGAATGGGAACCTCAGATGAATCACCTTACCCTACAGGGGATAATGTTAGTTCTAGCACTCTTCTTGTCAAGGGAAATCACAGGCCAGGACTGAATCAGAAATCTCTGTTCAACAGAATTCAGCAATTCAGTGGATGAACTCATTGAGCAATCAAGGGAGGCAAAATCCTTACCAACTGAAAGGTTCTATCAAATCCAAGCCTTGAAAAGATCTAATGAAGCTACAGCACAAATAAATACATCATTGAAAGCTTAATGAATCACACGTACAAGAGGTGTTAAGACAGTTGCTCCTAATTATCAAAATATCTTACCCGGAAAGGTGTGAGGATTTGAGGACCCTCTTTTAAGGCACTTAGAGCACAGGACATGCACAGTGAAGTATAACCCCGGCCACTCCTGGAGGAGTACATTCAGTTCTTCCATCAGAGGAATTATGGCTTGCCACGCAGTCCAAATATTTGGCAAAGAAGCATGACTAGCAATAGATAAGGTGTCTGCTTGCAGACTACTTTGGGTTGGTCTGTAACTGATCACCACTGGAACCTTGCCCCTGTAAGCAAAGATCTGGTACTTGCCATCTGACCGGTGTACAATGTGAGTGTTGATCTGTACACTATATCTGGCAAATAGGCCTGGTGGGAACAAAAAAGGGAAACTGTATTCCACCTGGAGCTGTTCAATTGCTAACTGTTGTCCAGAAAGGTTGGACCCATTAATCCAGGCTTCTGCATGAGGAACTTCATTTTTCACATAACAGGGGAATTTAAACCAAATGGGTACACCATTTATAGGGGTAATTTTAGGTTTGTTGAGGCAGTAACAGAGTCCCATCTTCTCCAGTAGTTCCAGAATCAAATGAAGATCCTGTTGAGTTTTGATGTGTGGCTTGAGAAGCAGTCGAATAATGTGCAGAGGAAGCAGTCCATGAAGCAGGAATCCCTCCACATAATGGTGGAGTTGTGTTGCCCTCAGCTCATCAATATTGGCATCTGCCAGGAGTTTCTGGAGCAGAACTGAGGCATCGCGCTGGAAGAAGACATTCAAGATGTCGATCAGCTTGGTCAAGTTATGAAAGACACACTCTTTGAGAGTCAGACTATCCTCAAAATACAGCAGCTTGCCACTTTCGTGCAGGTAGGACAGGGCGCTTTGGAGTCGGTCCTCAGTAAGACCAGCTTGTAATCCCAGCCTGGCAGAGTCCCACCAGGAAAGCCAGAGTTCTTGAGGTTTATAATGCAGTTCCTCCAACCTTTGCCAGGATTTAGGTAAGACTCTGTGCAGATTCGGAAAAATCTCTCGATGTTCAGCCACAGAAAGCAGTTTCTCCTTCAAGCGATTTATTCCAACATGGTCCCCCTGACAGCTGACTGTGATAACTGGGGACAGGATCTGAAGACGGTTGTTCAATAGGTACTGCACTTGGGCCTTCTTCCTCCTCAAATTTTTATCAGAGACTCCATAAAAGGGTGCATGTGGACTTGTAGCTCGCAGCTCAAGCCCTTGCCCCAGTGCCCCATCCACCTTCTCTGCCACAGCCTGCATGGACTCAACATCTCGCTTTTCCTGGAGTGCGATCTGATGATGGATGTCCAGGCATTTTTCCTCCACCTCTTTGTCATTGCACTGGTCCACATGTGCTCCCACCACACATACGACCCCGTGAGGGACCCTGGCACCGAGCAAGTGCAAGAAGTACCCGACCAGTTCGTAGAACCGATGGGGGGCATAGGCTTTCAGGCTGACCACCAGCACGTAGAGAGCGCCCGGGGAGAGAAAGAAGGGCTGGATAAGGTCGTAGTTCTGGTCCCCAGCCAAATCGTAGACAATAAAGGTGAGGTTTTTCTCAGCATCCGCCACCCACTGGGTCACCTCGATGCCCTTGGCGTGAGGTGCAGGGGTACCCGGTGCGTTTCCAACCAAGCACTGCCTGAGGGAGGTCTTGCCGGCGCCTTTGGAGCCCATCAGCACCAACTTGAGCCTGGGTTTGACGGCGGGCTGCGAGAGCGCCAGCTCCTTCTGGTAGGCCGCGATGTAGGGGATGCCTTTCATGCAGACCTCGTAGGGCGGCTGGATCAAGGGGTTGTCCTTGACCTTCCAGAGGCTGACTTTGGAGAGCCTGCCGAAGGAGTCGGGCAGGATGGCGATCTGGTTGCCCTGCAGCACCAGCTCCTCGAGGTGGGCGAGCTCCACGATGGAGTCGGGCAGGTAGCGCACCTTGTTGTTGTCGAGCCACAGGGCGGCCAGGTTGCTGATGGCGGCGATGCCGGCCGGGATGACGGACAGCTCGTTGCGGCTGAGGTAGAGCTCCTCCAGGCCGGTGAGTTGCAGCAGGGCGGCGGGGAACTCCTCGAAGCGGTTCGACGACAGGTTGATCATCTTGAGGCGGCCGAGCTCGCCGAAGCGCTCGGGCAGCGCCCGCAGGCTGTTGTTGTCCAGCATGAGGCTCTCGAGGGCGGCCAGGCCGCAGAAGGTGTCGGGCAGGCACGACAGGCGGAGGCTGCTCAGCCACAGGATCTTGACGGAGCGCAGCCTCGGGATGTCCCGGGGCAAGGCCCGGATCTGGTTCCCGGAGAAATCCAGCTCCTCCAGCTCGGCCAGCTGCAGGATCTGAAGCGGGAAGTGGCTCAGGCGGTTGTGGTCGACGTCCAGGGCGCGGAGCCTGGCCAGTAGGCCCAGGCTGGCCGGCAGCTGGCGCAGCTCGTTGAAGCTGACGTCGAGCTCCTCGAGGGCGGACAGGCCGCCGAGCTCGGCCGGCAGCTGCTGCAGCTTGTTGTGGCTCAGGCACAGGCGGCGGAGGCGGCCCAGGCCCCCCAGCTCGGCCGGCAGCCCCGACAGCAAGTTGTGAGCCAGGTCGAGCTCGTCGAGCAGCGGCAGACCGCAGAGCCGGGACGGCAGGCGCCTCAGGCGGTTCCTCCGCAGGATCAGCGCCCGCAGCTCGGACAGAGAGGAGTCGAGGCCGTCGGGCAGCTCGAGCAGCGAGTTGTTGGCCAGGTTGAGCACTTGGACGCGGCCGATGTCCGAAGGCAGGCTGAGCCGCGGGCCGCTCTGGCTCAGCTGGCGCCAGTTCCCGTGGAGTTTGCGGCAGCGGCGAGCCGCCTCCCTCCAGACCCGCACCGTCTTCAGGCCCCCGCCGCTCTCCGACATCCTGAGAGACTCGGGCTGCCTCCCTCCTCCTCCTCCTCCTCCTCCTCCTCCTCCTGCCCCTACATCTTCAGCCGCTTCCTCCCTCCCCCTCTCCATCGCGGCCTCCCAGTCCCTGGCGGCAGCCGCATCTTACCCCGGCTCTCATTGACGGCGGCGGGTGAGGGGGGGGGGAAGACGGTGTGGGAGAGGACAAGCAGCCCCACCGCCTACACCCCTCGGCACAGAAAGGCCGTCGCTCTTACTCCACCTCCAGGCTCAATCTGAGCCTCTCAGGAGGCAGCACGCCACGCCTGCCCTGGGAGGAGGAGCTGCTGCCGCCGCCCTCCCCGCTCTTCTCTCCCCACCCCATCCCCCCCTCCCCCCCCCTCCCCCCCCTCCCCCCCCCCTCCCTTCCCTTCCCTCCTCTCCCCTCCCCTCTGCCCACCTCCCTTCCGACCCTTCCTTCCTTTCTCGCCCCTACCTCCTCTCCTCTCCTGCTACTCCCTACAGTATCACTTTTACAACTGGAGCATGTAAGGCCGCTTAGAGTCAAACAGCGTGAGCTTAGCAGATCATTGTCGGGTTTCTTCGAATCATGGATTTATTAAATTGAGTTCCCTCTCTTTCACCCTTTTGGCTCAGTGGTCAGCACTGCTGCATCACAGCACCAGGGACCCGGTTCGATTCTGCCCCTTAATGACAGCATCTGAAAGTTTTAAAATTTACACTGGTGACACTTCACCACCATCTCTCCTGACTACTCCTTTCTTGTTAAATTATGAGACTGTTTCTGACATCTAGGGTGGCACGGTGGCTCAGTGGTTAGCATTGACTGCCTCACTGCGCTAGGCACTTGGGTTCGATTCCACCCCCTGTGTGGAGTTTGCACATTCTCCCCGTGTCTGCGTGGGTTTCCTCCGGGTGCTCAGGTCTCCTCCCACAGCCCAAAGATGTGATGTGGAGGTGCCGGGATTGGACTCTGGTGGACCAGGTCAGAAATCACACGACACCAAGTTACAGTCCAACAGGTTTAGTTGAAAACACAACCTTTCGGAGCCTCACTCCTCCTTCCGGTATTAGTGAGAAAGAGGTTATATCAGACACAGAATTTATAAGTAAAAGATCAAAGGTTCACATCATTGATGAGGATGTACTAAACAAACGAAAGATGCTGTTAAATCTTTAATCAGATAGAAGGTTTTAATTGATTAACATGCATATGTAAATCCCCGAATTCCTTTCAAATCCCAGTCGTGAGAGAACTAAAGGTATTATCCGTGTTCAGACAATGCATGTTAGGTGTGAGACTTTGTTTAGAATGTGTTTGTGTTTTAGTTTGGAGTCAGACTGGTTTTATTTCTAAAGAAAGGAATTTATAAAACGACATATTGACTGACTGTCTATAAATTGTGTGCTTTTTGAACAAAATAAAATGTATCTGCAAATACAGATTCACCCCATAGATTCACACGTGAGGAGGGAGAGAGAGTGTGTGTGTGAGGGGGGAAGGACAGTGTGTGTGTGAGTGAGGTGGGGAAGAGAGAGAGTGTGTGTGTGTGGGGGGGGGGTGGTGGGTAGGGTTGGAGAGGGATAGTGTGCGTGCATGTGTGTGAGCGTGTTAGAGTGGGTGAGTGTGCATGTATGTATGCATGCATGAGCGTGTATAGTGCTGTGGGGTCACCTGTATCGTGACATGAACCCAAGATCCTGGTTGAGGCCATCCTCATGGTCACTGAACTTGGCCGTCAGCCTCTGCTCGGCGACTCTGCGTTGTTGTGTATCCCGAAGTCCACCTTGGAGGATGTTTATCCGAAGATACAAGGCCGAATGGCCTTGACCACTGAAGTGTTCCCTCACGGGGAGGGAACATTCCTTTCTGGCGATTGTTGCACAGTGTCCATTCATCTGTTGTCGTAGCGTCTGCATTGTTTTGCCAATGTACCATGTCTCGGGGCATCCCTACCTGCAGCGTATGAGATAGGCAATGTTGGCCAAGTCCAAAGACGTGCATGTTAAGTGGATTGGCCATGCTAAATTGCCCATAGTGTCCAGGGTGGTGTAAATTAGGTGGACTAGCCATGGGAAAGGGTAGGTCTGGGTGGAATGCTCTTCAAAGAGTCGGCATGGATGTGTTGGGCTGAATGGCCTGTTTCGGGATTCTATCTTCTTTCTTTTAAGACCTTGTCTTAAGATCAATGAATGGAGAGTGAAAGGATCACATTGTGGCAAATTCCTCTTTATTCAAATCTGATCATTCACTGTCAATTTCTTCATATTAAAATGTGATCCCTTTGCTGTTCCAACGCATTTTTATCTTCCCCCATTTAAACAATTCCAAACTTAACCTTTACCGTGCCACTCCCTTAAGCAGACTTGAACAGATATGCAACACCACATCTGACTGGTCTACTTTGAACTATATAGTGCTACAGTCTGTACTAGGACTATCAGGCTCCTGCCTCACCTGATATTACTCCTCTCTATTCCAGCAACATCCAGTAGGCATATTTATGCCATCACAGAAACCACGACCTTAGCATCACTCAACTTTGTTCTGTTGCATTTCATCTGCTCCTAAAACCATCATTATTATTCTATTGGATTCCTGATGAATCTCCCAAATTCTATGCTCCATAAACTTGAGGTCATCTAAGACTCTGCAACCTGCCTCATCATTTGCAGCAAGTCCCATTCCTTACCACCCCTGTACTTGCTGATTTACATTGGCTCCCATTCAAGCAACATCTTCATTTTAAAATACTAATTCTTATTTTGAACTCCCTCCATGGTTTGCTGCTTCCTATCTCTGTAAACTCCTCTAGCGAACAAACCCAACACTACCCACTTGAGCCCTCTGATTTAAATCACATGCCATCAGCTACTTAGACCCAAGCTCTGGAGTTCCCTGTCTCTATCTCTCCCTCTGTCTACCTCATTTTCCTCATTTAAGACATTACTTAAAAACACCTCTTTAACCAAGAATTTCATCTAATATTTTCCTATGTGGCTTAGAGTCATAGTTTATTTTACGATGCTCCTGTGAATCTCCTTCAGATGTTTTACTGCATTGAAGGGACTACATAAATATAAATTGTTGTTGGTGTTATGTTTTATCATGCTCCTGTAAACTATCTTGGAATTCTTTTAATATCAAAGGCTTTTACAAAAATATATGTTGTTGGAATGGAAAAATATACTCTGACTTCTTTCCCTCATCTCCAGCACCAACCGGTGAAGAATCACCAGGACTGAGACAATATGATGACCTACCTGTGACACATCCCTCCCTTTCCTGAACCTACTGGCCAAATATCCTATTGGTCTCCTTGCTGCCCAAGGCTGAACTTTTATATCTTTCTCTAGTTTCTCTCCTGTCTCTCCCCATGCCCTCTTTGTGCTGATCTTGTTGATGAGTCGCACATCCTGCTTCCTCAATCCTATTCAAATTAATCAACTGATAACCCAACTTTCTTTCCTGACTCCCATGTTAGTTTTTTTAATTATTTAAGTAGAAGTTGGGGTCACTGGCTGTGTGTCAACATTTATTTCTCATTCCTAGTAGCCCTGGAAATGGTGGTTTGCTAACATTGTTAATGGTTCTATAGCTTTAGGTTTTGTCTCTCTTCCGTTCAAAATTGTCATCATTAACCCTCCCCTCAAAAAAACCCTTGATCCTACCATCTTTGCAAACTACTGATCCATCACCAATTTCCCTACTCTTCCTCCAATTTATTGAAAGTGTTGTTGCCTCCCAATATTTTATGCACATCTTACCTGAGACTCCATGTTTGAACCTTTCCAATCAAGTTTCCATCCTGCCATTATCATGAAGAAGCTCTTATCAAAATCACAAATGACATCCAATGTGACTGTGACAAAATCAAACTATCCTTCATCTTCCATCTCGGCCTGTCTGCAGCTTTTGCTACATTACACCAACTTCCTGCAACATCTCTCCACTGATGTCCAACTAGCTGGAACAGCTCTCACCTAGTTCCATTCTCATCTGTTGAATTACAGTGAGAGAATCACCCACATTGTCTTTTCTTCCCTCTCCCATAATATTTCCTCTGGTGGCTCTCAAGGATTTCTCCTTAGACTCCTCCAATTTCTTGTTTATATATTGCCCCACAGTGATATTCTAAAACATTAAGGATTATGATGAGCAGCCAAGTAAGTGGAGCTGAGTCCACAAAAAGATCAGCCATAATCTTAGTGAATGGCAGAGCAGGCTCGATGGGCCAGATGTCCTACTCCAGCTTCTATTTCTTATATTCTTATGTCAGTTTCTACATGCACACTAATAACACCAAGCTCTGCCTCACCATCACCTCTTTCAACCCACTAACAGTCTCTAAACTTTCATTCTGCTCATCCGATATCCAGGATTGAATGAGCAGAAATATTTTCTTCAATTAAATATTGGTAAGACTGAAACTATTTTGTATTGGACCTTGAGACAATCTTCTAATCACGTATCCATTGCATCAGTAAGTCTCTCTATTCTCATTTCCATAAAATTGTTCACATTAACCACTGTTTCAGTTCACTTTTTGCTGAATCCCTCATCTATGTTTTTGGTCTCTCTCCGCTTGACTATTCAAATGCACCATCGGTCAGTCTTCATGTTCAACCCTCCATGAACTTGAGATTATTCAAAACTCTGGAGCTCATGTCTTAACTCGCACCAAAATCCTGTCGACCTTGTTTTGGGGACAAATCAATAAATTGATAAGAAGACTTCAGGAAAACAGGACACAACCACTTATTTCAAACTCACATATGGGAAGTAAGTCTCAACACTGAAGGTTAAAATTCACTCTAGTGGGTTACAGAACATCTTCAAGCTTTATATATATTACAGCAATTCCCACACTTCAATATACATGTCCCATACCTCCAGTAAGATAGGTGTTAAAACCCACCTGGTAGACCTTTAGTCATGTGCCCTGATTTCTCCTTATTATAGTATCTTTTATTCTATCATATCCATGTAAAGTACTTTGGCACATTTTATTACATTAAAGGTGCTATATAAATATGAATTGGTGTTGTTTTTATACTCCTTTGCCATGTTACAATTTTACTCCTTTGATATATTACCTATTTGTTATTACCATTTTCCGCTTTACGTTGTTGTAATTTACCCTCTAATGACAGCTTAATGCCAAAAATAACTTTGGATTGTAAAGATTTAATAGCAGAAATAGAAATTTCACTTTCAAATGTGACAGATGTTTCTAGTTAATTTGTTCACTGATGTTGGCATCTCTAGCAATGTCAGCAATTATTGCTCATTCGTGATTGCCCTTAAGAAGATTGTG